GTATATGTGAAAATAAAACAAGAATTATATATATAATATGAAAAGAGGTTTTAAAGATGATTAATTTGTAAATCACTCACATTCAGGTGTCAGTTGAAGTCATGGAAATAGATCAGAGTGCTCGGGGAGAGAGTATAAGGAGAACAGGATGCTGGACAGGTCATGGCTAACACACACATTTAAGGGGCAAAAAGACTGTGAATTAGTGAAGGAGCATGGAAGGAAATGGTTAGATGGAGAACCAGATAGAGTCACATCAAGAAAGCCACATGAAAGTGGACAGAAAAGTTGTCCACTTGGTCAAATGTTGTCAAGTGATGAGGAGGAGGCCAGTGACAGGGCCATTAGAGGGAAATCACTGGGTACTACGCATGGACAGATCAGTTTCCTCTAGTGCTGGTGGTGGAAACCAAATCTGAGCAAATATTACCTGTTCAATAAAATTGACTGTGAGGAAAAGAAGTCCTGTGCTTAAATTATTTGCTTAAGCTTCAGTTTATGGGGGAAAAAGGTTGTGGAAATCTAAAACCAAGTAAAAGCATATCAGGATGACTATTCTATGGGTAATGAAACAAAAATTGGCAATACTTTGGTGTACAAGAAAAAACATGTTTGAGGGATTGTAAAGTTTCCATTTAGTGAGCTCCATTATAGGATAAATACAGGAAAAAACAGCTCCACACTTGTTACCAGAAGTACAAAAAAGCTGTTATCTTTTTTCCCCAAACATGCAAGTTCTTAGTTTCAGAGCAGTATTAAAGAAATTCTTTAAAAATAAAAATAATGTAAAATTTCATAGTATCATGTTAACTTTTTTTTTTTTTTTGGCCTGCCGCACGGCTTGTGGGATCTTAGTTCCCTGAACAGGGATTGAACCTGGGCCCTCGGCAGTGAGAGTGTGGAGCCAAGGAACTCCCCATGTTAACTTCTTATGACTGGACATGTGAAGTTTCTAGAAACATTTTCAAATACAAAGAAATCATCTGACATGCTAAATAATGGATTTATTGTTGGGTCAAACCTTGTCCTGTTTATGAAAAGAGGTCTGCATTAGCACAATAACTTGACTGAGTCTCAAGGACTTTCCCTCCAGCCACAGAATAAACAAATCAGTATAGCCCTACCAAGAGTACCATTTACCATAGAATCTCAATTCCACAACCATTAAGTAGAAACTACTCAACTTACAACCACTCATTTGTTACTAAAGAACCTTGAAGAGTCTGTGTTAAGTAATTTAACATCACCTGGAGATTACTGTACACAATCCAAAATAAAGTACTTAAACTTCCTATCAAAAAACATACAATGAAAGACCATACCAACCTTAAAAAAAAAAAGTCTTTTCTTATGGAAATTCCTGACTTAGGAACCAAGGCACACTTTTTCCTATCTGCAGAAAGAGTACAATTCCAATCTCAGTGAAAGTCGCCTATTTGTGAGTGTATGGAATTTAGAATGCCTGAAAACTAGTTTTGCTGTCAACATAAATAATGGCAAATTCTCCCAATTTGTGGTTAGGTGGCCTTTTATGGCAAAGATGTCTAATGATCTCCCACACTCTCAACATTCTTTTGTGTCTGTGTTGTATATATGTCTTTGATGAACCTTTCTGATACAGAAGCTCTAAATGTTGAAAAATACCAGAGGAGGGACTTCCCTGGTGGAGCAGTGGTTAAGAATCCACTTGCCAATGCAGGGGACACAGGTTCGAGCCCTAGTCCGGGAAGATCCCACATGCTGCAGAACAATTAAGCCCGTGAGCCACAACTACTGAACCTGCGCTCTACAGCTTCAAGCCACAACTACTGAAGCCCGTGCGCCTAGAGCCTGTGCTCCGTAACAAGAGAAGCCACCGCAATGAGAAGCCCGCGCAACGCAATGAAGAGTAGACCCTGCTTGCCACAACTAGAGAAAGCCCGTGTGCAGTAACGAAGACCCAATGCAGCCAAAAAAATAAAATAAATAAATAAATTTATAAAAAAAAAAAGAAAGAAAAATACCAGAGGAAATCCAGATATTTGAAACCCTAAGAGGAACAATAATTAAAATTTGTACTTGAAAACATAAGTAAACAACAAAATCATTGTAGATACACAAAATACATGCAAATACCTACTGTCTTTCCAAAAACTCCTGGTGGGACCACTTTCCTAGAGCGTGAACAGAGAGAAACAATGTCAAAGGAGGTAAGAAATGTGTTCATCAAGTACCACGGCTCATTGCCAAATGAAACAACTATCACCTGTATTATTAACTCAAAATCTCTATTTTATTTTTTTTAACATCTTTGTTGGAGTATAATTGCTTTACAATGTTGTGTTAGTTTCTGCTGTATAACAAAGTGAATCAGCTATATGTACACATATATCCCCATATCCACTCCTTCTTGTGCCTCCCTCCCACCCTCCCCATCCCACCCCTCTAGGTGGTCACAAAGCACTGAGCTGATCTCCCTGTGCTATGCAGCTGCTTCCCACTAGCTATCTGTTTTACATTTGGTAGTGTGTATATGTCAATGCCACTCTCTCACTTCGTCCCAGC